CAGGAATCAGGGGGTCACCCTAAGAGTCTGTCTTCCATAGATGTGTATTGGTATTGAGGTTACTATTTTTTTAAGAGCCCTTATATTTTACTAGTAGAGCTAAGTACTGAAATATTTGCAATGAAAAAACTTAGGATGTCTGAGTGAGATTTGCTTTGGAATAATCCAGGGGGCCAGGGAAGTGGGTTGAGATATAAATAATTGTCCATGAGTTGAAAATTGTTGAATCTGGTAGATTCATGAGAGCTCATTATATGAGTCTCTCTACTTGGGTGTATGCTTGAAATTTTCATAATAAAATTAAAAAGATAGCATGCCTATGAGTTATCTGTTGCTGCAAAATTAATTACCTCACAACTTAGTGACTTAAAACATCAAACATTTATTTTCTCGGTTCCTGTGGGTCAGGGATCTGACACAGCTTAGCTGGGTGCCTCCGACATAGGGTCTCAGAAGGCTGCCATCCAGGTGTCAGCAGGACTGCGGGCATCTGAGGCCTGATGAGCTGGGGATCTGCTTCCAACCTCTTTCACGTGGCTGTTGGTCAGGTGCCTCGGATCTTTGCTCATGATGGGCAGCTGGCTTCCCACAGAGCAAGTGATGAGAGGAGGAAAGAGAAAAGAGACACACAAAAGTCGACCAGAACAGCAGATAGTCTTTTATAACCTAATCTCAGAAGGGATATCCCATTCCGAATATTCTATTGGTCACACAGACCAATAGAATGTGTGGGAAGGCGGGGCACAAGGGTCTGAACAGCAGACGGCGGGGATCCTTGAGAGCGTTTTGGAGTCAGGCTACCGTGGTGTGTAAGGCAAAAATTGGGTGTTGTCAAAATTATCCTTGAAAGTCCTTTAAATAACCTATTAAACATAGTGGACCGTTATACCAGTTTTTCTCCAGTGCTGGAATGTTTTCTTGAGTGCTAGATAAAAGTGTGGTCTTGAACTAGGGATCATGGTTGTTCCAAAAGTAAAAGTTTCCTTCCCTTTTTTTTCTTTTTAAAATATTCTTTGCTTTCCTTTTTTGTTTCATAAATAAGTATATTTTAACACTATAATCACATTTGGCCCTGCCTTGAGCGTATTAAGTTAAATTCAAGTAAATGAAGTGCAGTACGAGGGCATTCTAATGCGTTGTGTAAGTGGACAGCTGATCATATCTTGATGGCATCTGCCCTTTAGGTCCATTTTGCTGACTCCTTGTTTTAGCTCCACAGTCACCAAGCAGCTTTCTGATTATGAAATGCACCAAACAGAAATGCCCATGGGGAGAAAATGCTCCGATCTAAACCATTCTGTGGTTACATTTCTCATCTAAAATTAAGAATTGGTATTCTATCAAGTTCTGCATAATGTAAAAGATTTTCAGGGAAAATTGTGGTAGAAAATGGGAGTACAAGAGAAGTATGACCTATTAATATTTATTTAATAAAATTCTTATATCAATAATATATTACTATGATACTGAACTTTTAAGGTACAGAAAAACAAATAATTTTTCCTCATATTAGCTAGAACAGTTATTTGGAGGTATATATATTTGTTTATATGTAAATATTGTGTATGTGTATATTGTATATGTGGTTAGAACCACAAATTTATAACAAACAGGCCCATAAATACATATAATTGTTACCCCTCCAAAAAAGAAGAATTGGTATTCTCAAAAAAAAAAAAAAAAAAAAAAAAAAAAAGCCCTAGCCAGTTTGGCTCAGTGGATAGAGCATTGGCCCATGGACTGAAGTGTCCCAGGTTTGATTCAGGTCAAGGGCATGTACCTTGGTTGCAGGAAGCAACCAATCGATGTATCTCTCTCAGATCGATGTTTCTCTCTCTGTGTTTCTCCCCCTATCTTCCACTCTCTCTAAAAATCAATGGGAAACTGTCCTCAGGTGAGGATTAACAGCAACAACAAAAAACAGTCGGTATTCTGGCTCTACATATCAGTCTTGATGCGCTAGGTTAATGTGAACCTGCATGTAATGTGGTACCTTTACATGATAGGCTTTTGAGCCTGCACCCCTGAGTCCCCAGGCTGATGAATTTACCCAAGTCATGCCACCCAAGGGGGAGCCATCAGAGTGGCTGCACACAGAGTATATGCATGAGCTCCCCACACTTCTCAGGTCCCTTGCTATCAGATGGGGGAGTGTAACCACTTTTGGTCAATAGGCTGTGAGTAGAATTGACACCTATCACTTCTGAGCCAAAACCCAGTGCACTTTTCATACACTCT